GGAGGGGGGGAGGCGGGGATGGGCAAGGAGAAGCAGGGCCTGTTTGTTCCCTTTAAAGAGGGTGCTCCCTGCAGGAAGTGTTCTGTAACATTTTTGTCTCGCATACTTTAAGCCTAGAAGCCATAAAAGCACAGCCTTAATAAATTTCATTTGCTATCATGTGGACTGTTTGGCTTTTGATTTACTAGTTTAGCATTTCTTTAACCAAGATGCTACGAATGTGCTCAATTCAATTCATATCCACTTGGAATTAAATGAAAATAGTAGTATTAGCTACCACCCTAACACAGAAACTTGTGCCTACACGTTTTTTTTTCAGTTATTAAAATGACCGGTTATTTGGAGTCCTTTTGGTCTAATACTTTATTTCTCACATAGTTTCTCAGCGTCTTTGGTAAACTGTGGAAATGGATTCTCTATAAACGGTACTTAGAAGAATAGACACTCACAATCTAAGTCAGTGAATAATTCCAAGAGATTAATTTTTGAAACCCTAGATATCTGTTGGAAACGTCAGTTTTCTACTAAAAGCTTCCACCACATCTGCCAGAAGCATTTCAGCCTGGGAGAAGTCACATACAAATTCTCAAGGGTTTTCAACTTGCTTATTTTTAAAAACAAATACTAAAAGAAAAACAAAACCCACAAGACTATTTCAATTAAGCAGTTTTTTTAAAGAGTTTCTGCCCATATGCAGTGATAGATGCTGTACAAACATATTTAGATTTTTTTGAACTATAGCCCACTTTTTCTTTTGCTTTGATTCACACTTTTTGGAACACTCCATGCTCAGCACAACATCCACGTCCTACATATCTAGTGACTCACTTTTTCGGGCATCTCTTAAAAAGATTCCTTAACTTGAAATTACTCAAAAAAATCAAAATCAATTCTAAGCATAAGCTTCTAATGTTACTGCTGTATGAAAAATTCACAAGGAGGTATTACACTGTTTCTACAAACACAAGCAAAAGGAGCCATTGCATCAGTTGTCTATACAAGTACTGCTAAGCACAGAAAAAGTCTGAGTACAGACATTCCCACCACCACCCACTTCCACCTTTATCTTACACATTTTTAGGCCCACACATTATGTTAAAAATATTTTAAAAAGCAAATCCAACATTAACTATCTGCTTTTAATTGCTATTTACCGGTGATCTTGAAGAGTCATCCGACTTTTATCCTTAATAACGCTAGTGTTACATATACATTATCTCCTTTGGGCACATAACTTTTTCCATGTATAATTAAAGTGGCTTTATACAAAGTAAACATTCATATCTTTCAACTGTAAGTAACATGTCATCTTCAACTTAGTCTATTTATGCAACATACTTCAGCTTAGGCCTACCTCTGCCTCAAAAAAAATTGTATACTAGTTCCCTTGCCAATGCTTACTGATGCTCCTCAGTTTCTACCCTTCTTTACTGATTATGCTGATACAATTGTTTACAGACTATGCAGTAAACAGGATAACTCGCATGATTCACTAAAACAAAACAAACAAAACTCTAAACTCTCAAGAAAAAAAAATATTAGAGTATAACTGAAAGGAAGCTCAAGAGACACCACAGAAACTGGACCAAGTGACCGGGAATGCCAGAAACTGGTATTGCCAAAGTCCACACCTTACAAAATTTCAGCCCCAGATAATTCATTAAGTATTTTCAATTATTTGAAGGTTTCTCTCTGATACTAAATTAACATTTCAAGGTATTTTATCTTTCATAAAGCCCAGAGTCGATGGAAGTACTACACAGAAGTTTTAAGAAGTGTTTACAAATACTATAGCAGAAAGAATGTATACAGGTTTAAATATAGGTCATTGATAGGATAATGACATATTCCTAAATGAGATGTACTTATTAGAAGTTCTGTAAACAATGATAATAAACATTCCTGCATGCAAATTTTCTGGCATAGTTTTACGGTTTTGTTTGTACTTTTAAAATACCACAAAATTATTTACCGTAGCTTTTGCGATTCAAGATTAAGACTGTATTTACCAACGTGACCTTTTACCTGCCTTTTCACAAGGATATTTCATATTTATTATCTCTAACAATGTTTTCTTCCCTCTCCTCCAACTGTCTCACGATTCACCATTCAGATACTCAATCAGATGAAAAACCAGAACACGTTACCAAGAAACAAACACAGAAACCAAAATTCTCCATGCTGCTGTATCAATGCTTTAAACCTTTTACAGTACCACAACGTAGAACAGACAAAATTTACAGCAACGTATTCCTGTGCATGATCTTAACTCCACTCTTTAGTTGATCACTGTGGCCATCCAGATACCTACCCTGGGCAGTTTTCATTAAGACCCTATCAAATCTTCCCATGTCGATATCTCAATAACTGTCACATACCATCCCTTATTTACTACTACCAGGCTGCTATTTTAAATCAGCCAGAAAAAATGAATAAGCATATAATGGTTTTGACCTGTATTAGAAAAGCCAAAGCTAACTGAAATTTACAAACAAAAAACTCCATAGCTGACTGTCTTCAGAGCTTATCTGCTAGTTAGCAGACTTGCTCAACACTCAATGCTTTGTCAAATTAAACATCTTTAATAAGGCTCAACTATTAGTAACCATAATAGAGCACATGGGAGTCTCAAAATCTTCATAAATCATAAGGAACGTTGATAAAAAAGCTATATACGTAACACTTTTTAATTTTAAAACAAGTACAATAAATTAGACTATTTTACTTTGCTGAGTCAAACAAGAAAGGTTAAAAACAAAGCTTAAACTGAAAATATTTCAAGCACTTAAGTTTTCTAAAGTGTCCAAGAACACACATCACATGCACAACAGAGCCAAAACAACATGCTTAATGAAACACTAATAGAGATAGCAGTTTGCACAATTACATGCAGGTAACTTGAAAGCCATGCCATAACCCAGCCTTAAGAAATTAAATGCTTGTCTTGTCCCATCATGCCCAGGTATTGCATAACCCAGGATAGTTAACAATGGAAGGCTTAAGAACTTTGAGTGTGCTGTGCTGCTCCTCATGCTGTGTCATACTACTAAAAAAATGCTGCATTAATTACAGACCACATTATTCTTAAAATCAAGATCTACACTGTCATAGAAGGGTATGCTGTGAAGCTAAAACATAGCTGACTTAGAGCATATTTCAGACATAAAATCAATATATTTAAAAAAAAAAAACCCAACACCAGAACACCACAGTGCTGAGCAACTGAAATCCGCACTTTGTTCATTTCTTGCTGGATATTTAAAATTAACTTGACAATCATTAAGTGAAATAACTTTACTTGTCCCAGTTCAATCCCTAGTGGACAAAACATGCACTACAGAACCCCTAAATTCCACTTAAGATACTTAGCCTTTTGAGAGTAACAATTAAGACAACACAGGATATATTTTAAAACCCTTCTCTCTATCAGTGAGAAAATATCTTGTACGCCATTTCTTACGCTCCTGCTGCCAGGAACAAAACTTCTATCAGACCCAAACAACAAAATACTCTTTATAAAATTTCAAAAGGGCAAGCAGGAAGAGTGCTGATGACACTTCTCACAATGAGATTTATTTACATGCTCAGATAAAAGAGTTAATTTCTCAGCATTTGAAAAAATACTATTACACCATTATATTCACACAAACCTGTGCTTTTAGATTTGTATTACTCACCTCAGAATCACCTACTTCCAGCAATGAATAATACACATGCAAATTTTTTAGCACTTATCACCATTTTGAGCTGTTAGTTTTATGTACTTTTAGTAACGCTTAAAGTTTCTGCTTAGTAAGAAATTATCAACTTACCTGAAAAGTAATCATTTTACCTATAACACAAATCTTACTCCTTCCACACGCAACCGCATTTATTACAGAGCGAAACCAAAGTGATCTACAATCTACAGGGCCTTGCTAAAGCAAATGTGCAGTTCATTGTTTTTAAATAAAGAAAACCTCTTACCTTGCCTGTCTTGTGATCAAACCAGACAAGAGCATGGTTCCTGGACAGCACCTTACAGTCAAAAGTTGCGTTATTCTGAGCTGGCCGGCAGCGAGCCACCGAGCGGCCGATTTTGACGGGCTCGTCCAGGTAGACATGACGCTCCTGAAATGGATGAGAGTTCGGGCGGCAAGTGAAGATGGCCAAGGCTGAAGGCATCGAGGACAGATTGGGGTTGCCACACCAACCAGAGATGAAGAGAGCCTCTTCTGACGCAGGCTGTCCTCCACAATTTTTAACGCAAACCTCCACAGCAACTTTATATTAAAGCAGGACAAACATTATCATATGAGAGGCCTAACAACTCATTGTTTCAGTGTGTAAACTAATTCTGGCAATAATCCAGTGAAAAAGCCCCATTATGTCTTTTAATAATATCAGCAGTGGCCCAAAAAAAGTCTAAAAGGTACAACTTTCAATCCATCCTCCTCTGGAAGAACAGGAACAAGCATCTGATTCCTTCAAAGAGAAGCAAAAGCTCCTTGAAAGAAGGATAGAATGTCTTAAATCCAAGTAGATGAGTCATACAAGTACTTTTGTTTGTAACCTCAACTACCTTCTTTCCCCCCCTCCTTCCGTAAACAACACTGACCAGAATTCTGACCAATGCAACATGGAAGCAAGGAAAGGTTGAGGGAAGGGGGATGAAGGAGAAGGATTAGCGTCCTCTCTCAAAGCGCACAGACCAGGAGCTGGAAGGTGAACACGAAGCCCTCACTCCACGACAGGGATCTACTTGCTTCAAACGGCAGTCCGCATTTCACCATCTTCGTGTATTAAACCAAAGCAGAATAGGTGGTCCTCGATTTTGGATGGGGGTACGAGAGCTACACTGTTTTCCTCCACTACACCAGATAGAGCTGAACTGGTCTACAGTTTCAGGCGGCCCCTCAGATAAGGAACTTGATAAGGCATGGAGAGGGCTTCGAACTCTCCTTCCCGCGGGGACAAGCTAACGCCTGGGAAGGGTCCTTCGGGGGCGGCCTAGGAGGTGCACTGACAGGTTGCTCCCAGGCGGTGCCGGCGATGGCTCTGGCCGGCAGCAGCGGGCAAGCGTCCCTCCGCGGCGGCTCTGCTGGCGGCGGGCGGGCGGGGGCCGGCGGCGGCGGGAGGCGAGCGGGGGGCTGCTCCAGGAAGTCTCCGCTACGAGCCCCCGGCGCGGGGAGCGGCGGGCCGGGCGAGGCGGCGTCCCCTCAGCTCCGCTCCGCTCAGCCCCTCCGCAGGTGGCTGCGCATGAGGAGGG